CCATGAGACACAATATTCCCTTTATGATATTTATTTGAGCTAGGGTGCAGCTCCTCAACAACATTTTGGTTTTTAGGCAACCACCTCATCTCTCTTAGTCGTGTACTCATCATTCTTGCCATTCATGACATCATTAGCTTTTAGCTCCTTCACAATGCGGCTCTTCAAGTAGAACTTTGCATCGGCGAAGTGTGATTCGGCCTCGGTGAATGGCACGTCATCAGCAACTATCTTCTTCTCGACTCCTCCCTCATAGTACTTCAAACATTGATGGTAGGTAGATGGAACCACTTTATTCTCATGTATCCAAGGCCTTCCAAGCAAGACGTTGTATGAAGTCTTTGCATCAATCACATGCAGCCATGTACTTGATTGCATATCTTCAATGGTGATTCCCAACCTGATCGCACCTATGGCTCTTTTCCCCCCTTGGTTGAATCCTTGAATCATGACACGACTTTCTGAAAGTTTGTTCATGGGAATACCAAGTTCTTTCAGAGTGCGAATTGGCAAGATGTTCACTGAGGATCCTCCATCAACCAAAATTTGATTTACCCTTTCATCGCGCATATAGCCAATCAGGTACAACGGGCGGTTAGGAGTATTGTCACCTAGTAGAAGATCTTCATTTGTGAATGTAATGTTTTTCTCGCAAGCATTAATAGGAATAGAATCGATGAGCTTTTTTAAAGATGGTGCCAACGGTAGGTCATCACTCTTTTCTTCCCCTTTATCAGCATTGCAACAAGAGGCCTCAATACCATCATGGGAAATCTTCATGCGGAACCAACTTGGCAAGAACTCCTCCAAGGTCACTAGATGTCATGGCTTTTGAGGGTGGTGCACCTCCACTTTTCCTTCTTCAAATACGTAACGGGATTCCATTTCCTTGGTCTTTTTGCCATCATTTTCCTTGTTGGTTGTTCTATTGATTCTTTACATGGTCTCCTTTTGTAGTTCCTATGACGAGTCACCAACGTCCAACCTTCATCATCATCAGGTTGATCAACTTCAACTTTGTTGTCCTCTAGTAATTCTTCATTTTTACTGTATTTAAAATTTCACCTGGACTGAATGAGCCAAAGGTGATAGAGACTTGGTTTGCGCTTGCTTTCTCATCTTCAAGCACGATCTTCTTTTCACAAGCCAAGTCCATAACTTTGTCCTTGAAGACAAAGCACTTCTCCAGAGGGTGACTCACAAGTCGATGGTATTTGCACTAATTTGGGTCATTTGTTTTCCCTGCTTCATTTCCGGAAGCTCAATGAGATTTAACTCGAGGAGCTTTTCAAACTTTAGGGGTACATCAGAATCCATAAATGGGTACTCCTTCTCTTGCATTTCTTTTAGAGTCAACTTTCCACTTTGCTTATCTTGGAAAGAAGTGGACTTCATACTCTGCTTCTTGCTCACCTTTGTCGTGAACTTCACAGGTGATGTGTTGACACTCATAGCTTCTTTGTTTTCATACTTGGGTACGAACTTGCTCCATTTCCCGACTTCTTGCTTGTCGTTCCCTTTGCGAGGCTCAATGATAGGTAACCTTTCATTTCTAGCGGAGTACATGCTCAATTCCATGTCATGGGTGCGAGTTGCGAGTTCTTCAAATGTGCTAGGCTTTATACCTTGCAAGATGTAGCGCAGTCCCCAATACATGCCTTGGATGCACATCTATATGCCAAAAGCTTCACTAAGCCTGTCTTTGCAGTTGAGGCTTGCATTTCTCCAACGATTGATAAAGTTGATAACTGGTTCACCTTTCCGTTGACGAGTATTTATAAGTTCCACCATGCTCACAGTGTGCCTTATGCTATAAAAGCGATTGAGGAACTCTTGCTCTAGTTAATCGCAGCTATCAATAGATCCTGCCTCGAGGTCTGTATACCAATCAAAAACATTTCCTTATAGCAAGCGGACAAACTGCTTGACGAAGTAATCTCCATAAGTCCCAGTGTTGTTGCATGTCTCAACGAAGTGTGCCACGTGTTGCTTTGGATTGCCTTTCCCATCAAACCGTTGAAACTGTGGAGGTTGATAGCCATCATGCATCTTCAACAAATCGATCCTTGCAGTATATGGCTTTGCGTATGTAAGAGAGGACTTGGTAGCAACTTTGTACTTGTTTATAATAGTTCCTTCAATGATCCTTCAGTTGATCGATTGGAATCATCCCTTCAGATGAGACAGGGATAGCCTTAGCGGATGCTACTTGTGTTGGGGAGAGAATCACTCTCTGAAACTTCTAGGAGTTTGCCAGATGCATGGGTGGACTCTTCTTCCATCAAGATTCCCACCCTGTCTGTTAGCTTGTCAATTCTAGCTTCTTGATTTTGCATGCACTTGGTCAAGCTAGCGATTGCTTCCGTCAAGTTTGCTGATTGCTCTTCCACAGATAAAGTGTTTGTCACCATGGCTTCCATGATTGTTGTGGATGATGGGGAGTAGTATGGATTGTCACATAGATTGATTCTCGACTGGCTCATGCTATGCGGTGTAAGTAGGAAAGATCCATCACTTGAAATATCATCATCTTCCTTCACAATAGAGTTCTTATATCCGGATAGGTCAAGCAGAGCTAGAGTTTTCTTGATCTTTTTAGCAATATCGCTTCCTCCTTTGGGTCTGCACGTAGAGGATCTTGCTCCTTTTGAGGATGAAGATCCGAAAACATGGGTTGATGCGGATGTCACTTGGAGTGCTTGTTTTCCTAAAGAGTTTGCTTTGCTCCTCATAACTGGTCCGAAGCTTCCAAAGGTAACATCGAGGATTCTTTCCATATCAGCATAGAACCTGGAGTTAGCAACCTTGGTGGATGTTGATATGGAGTTGATTTTCTTTGAAGCCTTTTCGACGTTCTTGAACTTTAGTGATTGAAAAGTTGAGATGAGAGGTAGAGATTGTCCCATGGGCGTGCCAGTATTTGTAGACAATAAATTTGAGTCGAGAAAATAAAATCAAGACCGAAAAATATTGCAATAATCGTAGTATTTTATTTCAAATATTTGAGTGTTACAATCTCTATGAATCATCTGATTCTACTTTTTAACAGTAAATAAAAGAGCCTTCTAGCTTAATCTTGAATTTTATTTTATTTTAATCCAAGTGCTTGAGGTCTGATCTTGATTTTTAATCCAAGGGCTTGCAGCTTGTTCTTGAATCTTCATCTTGATCTTTTAATCCTTAGAACACTTGAATGTTTGTAGCTTTTAGAGAAATCTGCAGCGTTTGATCCACGAGCTCTCTCATGCTTCTTGTTATAACTTTTGGTATCTTTTCTCGGTTATGAAGACCCCTATTTATAGTTGTTAGAGGGAAGAATTATGATAAGAACAAACTTTTTCCGATCAATCAAATTGAAGTGTGACAAGGCCGCATTTGATTGGCCAGAACATGTCACCGGCATACGTGGCACGGTTTTATTGGCCGTTTAATTGGCATGCCTTGTCATTTTGACATGTGGCATGATTCTATCGGCTCTTCCATTTGACTTGGCATGCCACGTCATTTGACACGTGGCACCAAATTGGGCCTCTAGGAAGATGACATCTTGGGCTTAGTGAAGTGGGCTCCTCACTTGTAGCCTAATGGATTAAGACTTATTAATTCAGTCCATATATATTGGACTTATATAATTGATACACTTATATTAACCCGTTGTATGGAGCTGAGTGTTGGCCCGTCAAGAAGTCCCATGTCCAGAAGATGAGTGTAGCAGAAATAAGGATAGTGAGATGGATGTGTGGTCATACCAAGAAAGACAAGATCAGGAATGAAGTTATAAGGGACAAGGGTAGGAGTGGCATAGATGGAAGCCAAGTTACGGGAATCGAGGCTGCTACTGTTTGGGCATGTGAAGAGGAGAGATATAGATGCCCCGGTCAGGAGGTGTGAGAGGTTGACTATGGCGGGCTTGAGGAAGGGCAGGGGTAGGCCTAAGAAGTATTGGGGAGAGGTGATTAGGCAGGACTTGTTGGTGCTTCACCTAACATAGGACATGACTAGCGATAGGAAGGTGTGGAGGTCGAGGATTAAGGTGGTCGGTTGACAGGTAGTTACGATTTTTTCATAGGTTCACCAGTAGTACTAGTAATATTCTTGATGTGGGTTGAAAGTTACTTCCTTCTAGTTTGTTATTGTATCTGGTACTTTGCAACCACGTCCTTTGTTTTTGTAAATTGCTACTGGGATTGTTGCTCTCTGATTGTTACTATTTGATGCTATTTTTTCTTCCCTTTTACTGGATATTGTTGCTCCTTGATGGTTATTGTTTGATGCTAGTTTTTCTCTCCCTCCCCCTCTTTCCTCCTCTTCTTCTCCCATATTCTTTCTTTCCACCTTGTCTTGAGCAGAGGGCCTTTCAGAAACAACCTCTCTACCTCTCCAGGTAGGGGTAAGGTCTGCGTACTGACTACCCTCCCCAGACCCCACCCGTGGGATTATACTGGGTATGTTGTTATTGTATATTAGCCCATAATATTTATTTGGACTAATATAGTCCAAATTATTTTATTAAATTTAAATTCAATAATTTTGTATGCCTACAATTACCATCTAGGAATTCTCCCATTTGCAAAACTACTCACTAGAACACTAATAAAATGAAGAAATAGGGAGAAACACGGGCGAGTTAGCCATATGACCCCTTTTTAAATTTAAATTGTCAAAACATATTCAAGTTTTAATTATTGTTCAAAAAGACCTTCCTGTTTAATTAGTGTTAATGTTTGTTTTGAATTAACGAAACGGAAAAGGCCTAAAAATGCCACTCAACTTTCAGAAATGGTCTATACATGCCATCCGTTAAAAAAATACTATTTCCATGTCACTGCCGTTACAACTTTGACCAATCTATGCCATTATTTGACTAACGGCTTATTTTTTTTTTAATTTTTATAACACTCACATTTCCACGTGTCCTGTCATCATTGGTCCGAATTAACCCATGCCCCACTTAATTTTAACCTTGGTTAGGTCCATCTAATATTAACCTTACCCAAATAATTAACCCAACCCCACCCTTCCAAATCCCTCTTCAGTCGTCTTCCCCAAATAAAAAATCCCTAAAACCTCCATTAAATTTAATTTCTGCCTAATCTGTTATGTTTTCTTTCTAAATTCAAAGTTTGCAGCTTCAGATGAGCACCCGAGGCAGTTCATAAACATGCCAGAAGATGCACTTCAGATGGTTCTTTCTCAAGTCACAGACCAGAACTTGAAGCTCACCTTACAATTTTGAATTGGATTGCACCATGCTGGACTGAATGATAAAGACAAATCATTGGCCGAGGAACTATTTGCAAACAACAAGATTCAGGCAACTATATCATCTGAAAATTTCAGATCTCTATGAGCAATAATATACTGAAATTGAAGCTTATATTTGAGTCATTTTGGCGGCAAATTTCTAGGTGTTGGTCTGTACAAGTACGTTAGCATGGGTGGTAAACCTTCCTGCATATTTGGTTACTATTAAGGTACGTATCTGTACGTAGTCTTATCCGCTTTCCAGAATTTGGTCAAAGTCAGGAATGCTAAAACCTCCATTGAATTTAATGGAGGTTTTAGGGATTTTTGATTTAGGGAAGACGACTATAGAGGGATTTGGAAGGGTTGGGTTGGGTTAATTATTTGGGTAAGGTTAAAATTAGATGGACCTAACCAAGGTTAAAATTAAGTGGGGCATGGGTTAATTCGGACCAATGACGACAGGACTCGTGAAAATGTGAGTGCTATAAAAATTTAAATAAAAAGAAATTTGAGCCGTTAGTCAAATAATGGCATAGATGGGACAAAGGTGTAACGACAGTGGCATGGAAATAGCATTTTTTTTAACGGATGGCATGGATAGACCATTTCTGAAAGTTGAGTGGCATTTTTAGGCCTTTTCCGCTAACGAAAAGGTGAAAGGAAAAGTTCTTCTTGCAGCCCCAAAATTCTATTTATTACATATTGGTGAACCTATATAAATTTATTATTACCATTATTGAATTTAAAAAAAAAAAGCAGAAAAACTCTTCTTGCATTCCCTAACACACATTTCTTTCCAAATATGCCGTGAAAATCCTCCATTAAAGCTAGCTTTTTCTTTCACTCCTGCATAGAGGTCAACTGGACCTGCTCTTCTTCCTCCTTATCTCAAAGCCAAATTCATCGAATTTTGAGATTTGGAGAGGAAACTCGACGAGGGACAAGATTCCCCCTTCCTTTAGTAGGAATGACAATGATTTGTGTTCGTACCTTCTTGATATTAAAATTGATAATACGAGATCTTGTTTGAAGATATTTGTGACTAAAGAAGAGTTTGAAGAAGCGGCTGCAGTTCCATTTAAAAGGTCTCATCAAGCTTCAAATGTCGTAACTCCACCAATACCGCCACTATCACCTCCACATCCACCAATTTTAGAAGTAGATAAGAAATTATAGTGACAAATGGCTGAAGTGGAGTTACTCGTACTTTGGATGATATTGGTGAAAATAAAATAAACTCGTATAGTCCGGAAAATATAGACGGATCATAAGATGGAGTCATTTATCCAAATCCCTTTACAGCTTGTTTGGATGGTTGTTACCCATTATATTGTATTGTATTGTTACTTAAAATACAATGTTTGTTTTGATTGTTACTTCAATTTTATTATATCGTATCGTTAAATCCATCGTTACATAACAACGAAATGTGCTACTTTACGTAACGACTGATTTGGTGTGGTCGCGTCGTTACCTTGTCTTTTTCCCTCAGTCTCACCCTTCATTATTATTAAATAATTTTATTTTATCATTTACCCTATCTTTTTATATAATAATTTTATCATGTATCATAATTTTTCTTTATAATATTGCAATTTTATTCTTTATATTGCTGGTGTGTGATATCATGAAACGATAAAACGACACAATCTATCCAAATATTGTATTTATCAAACAATACAGTACAATACAATACAGTACGATACGATACATTATGAAACGATACGTAACAACCATCCAAACAAGCTGTTAGAAGAATAGGTGCATGTGTGAGCTTGTGATTTTTGCCCGACAAAAATATTCCTACAAAATCACAAAATAGATTTTTCTAGTTCATTTTAATTTTTGTAGAATTTTTAGGAATATCTTGACAATTGTTAGTTGCATTTAGTTGCATGTTTTAAAATCATGAAAAATATAAAATATTTCATGCATTGCATTTTATGTCTCAATTGCATTTAATATATAAACAAAAAATCACAAAAAATATTGGTTCGTTCTTGCACTTTATTTTTAATTGCAAATTAGTACTTTTTCTTTCATTAGTTTTAGGTTAATTAACTATTTAGTGCTAAAAATAGATAATTATTTTTAATTTTACATATTAGATTTTAATTAGGATTTAGTTTAGGTTTTAATTTAATTTTAGAAGTTTTAAATAAATCAAGAAAAAGAAAAAAAGGGTTGTCTTAACGTTTGGGCACGATTTTCCCATAGCCCATTTTGCCTCAATCCGCCCCAGCCCAGCTCCCCATACTCGGTCCAGTTCCACCCCTTTATTTAAACGACGTCGTTTTGTCCAATTGAATCCCAACCGTTGATCTTCAATGATCCAACAGCTGGGAACTAACTTCCCCCTCCCATATAACTGTCTGAACCTCACCCCCAAACCCTAGCGAACCCCATTTCCCCGTCTCCCTCACTCTAAGCCCCAACCCTAGCCGCCCTCATATTCTCTACCAAACCCTACCGGCAGCCACCACTCAGCCTCCTCCAAACCCACTGAAAATCACACCCCATAATCCCCTTTCTCCTCATCTCATATCTCGCCTTAGTTCTTTCCAAAACACCCCAGAAAGCCCTAAATTTTAGATCTAAGAAGCGGTCAGTTTGTTCAAAACCCTTGAGTCCGTTATTTCCTCAGCGTTCGAGTTTGAAGAGTTCGTCTACGATGTTGTCTTAACGGTTTGGACTCTCCTGAGTCTTTTCTTCCAAGAAAATCCGGTCAAAACTCCATGCAAGGCCGGATTCCTTGGAGGAAAAGACACTTGAGTGGTCAATTAGCGTGGAGTAGGGCACCAAGCTGTCTCGCATGTTTTTTCATTCATAAACGATAATTTCACCACTGTCTTCTTTGTGTTTTCATGTCTGAGTCAGTATTTTCTTTTAGGTTCGTTAATCTGCTTGTTCTTGTTTCAGAGTCATCATTGTTCCAATCTTCTAGTTGTTTAATTAGGGTTCGTTTGGGTTTATTGATTTGGGTTAATTCAAGCCTATTTAGTTTAATTTTTTTAAATCGTTTTGTTATCTCAGTACTTAGCTATGTTACTGATTTTAATCATTTGTTAATGGTTTGCCTAATTGAATAATTAGTTATAAAGCAGGTTTTTGAGTGTTAGTCAATTTGGTTTTCGTTCATTGGTGCTACTTTAACTCTGTTGGCATCGATTGAAATTTGGGGAGGGGTAAATGGGTCGAAACAGGAGCTCAGGGGGGTAATTTGGAAAATGAAAAATAAGGGTTTCAGATAGGGTATTTAGAAGCTTCTAGAGTGTGGACAGCTGGCCCTATTTGCTAATTAAAAATTGCTGAAATTAAATAGAAATGGCCAGCTGTCCATTTTCTGTTAAGAAAATATACTTTTTCCTGATTTTTAGGGTGATTTTGAAGGGAATGATTCCCTTATCTTTAGGGGCACATGTCATATTTCATGTCATGTATATAGTACTCTCCTCTTTCTTCCGGGACACGAGATCAGACCTGAAAAACCTTTCTGAAAAATCCAGCTCCCTTTTCATCATCTTTAAAAAAATCAATTTTAAGACAGATTTTTAGAAAAAAGAAAACTTTCAAAACAAATAGACTTACTCTTTTGATTTTTCTGATCTTTTCTCCTCTTTAAACTCAAACCAAAGAGAAAAACAAGAAAAAATGTTCCAGCTGGTGTTGTTTTATTTAACCTGATGGTTTCTTTCCATATCTGCTGGGTTTTGCTGATTTGAGTCAAGAGCTGTAGCATTTTGATCTCCCTGCTGTGTTCTTGCTGCTGTGTTTTACTGTTTCCCGCTGTTACTCGCTGATCCTTGAGCTTTATTTCCTTATTCAATTCACTTTTGATTCCAGGTATCCTTTTTGAATTTTGGACTTCAATCAGATGTGAACTACGCTATTATGAAAAGAAATCTGTGTGTTATTGAGTTATGGAAAACAAACGTGCAAGTTGTTAATCCATATATAGCTTTAAGTTATTTCGTTTTCTTCTTGGTTTGTTATTCTGTTAAGAATCAGTAGTTGTTGACTTATCTGTTGCTTAAGTTCATTTTGTATTTAAGAACGTTACTCTTCACTCCTATTTTTTTTTTTTAATCTTGTAAGAGTTGTGAGTTTGGTGCGAATGTTCAGCACTGCCTCAGCCTGCATTTAGCTTGCACATACTCACATTAGCTTGATAAAATAGTGTTGCTGCTTCACAGAGTCATCACCAGTTGATTGAATGTTGTGTTGAACTATATATGCTGTCTGAATATTACTGTCTATCCAGAATTTCTCCTCATGCTGTTTGCGCCTAAATCCATGATTAAATGTGTGTATACAAGAGGTTAATTTAAGTATTGACGTTGAGCCGTAATTGGTTGAGTTTTGTAATAATTGTGTTTTCGATCCATAGACTTGTTCCTTTATTCTTCCGTTGTCTATTTGTTTGAATATTTTCTTTTATTTCGTTGCATAAACTATGTGATGATGTAAATTTATATAGAATCAAACCAATAGGTAAATCGGCTGATAAGGGTTGTCTAGGAATTTGGTAAAAATGGTAATAAATCTTCTTATTTGGATCTGGTGGATACTTTCATGAATGTGATAGATCTGTGCTTGTTAACTGATAATTTCATAGTTTATATTCGCTTAGCAGAAGCAACTATAATCGCCTGTGTCTGCTTTGATTTGTTGCGACAATCATAGTGTGGTATAAGGATCTGGATGCCTTTCACGATGATCATGTTATATCCAATGATGTGGGATTCTGAATTACATGGTTTGTTGGAATTAATTCTGAGAATGGCTTTGGGCTATGTGACTACAAAACGACAAAAGGATTTAAGCCAAAGAGTTTAACCCACAAATCATTAAGCTAGTACAGCTTTTCATAACTAATTTACTTCGTTTTTTTCCACAATAATTCCATAATTCGTGGCCTCTCAATAATCTCAAATTATTTTTAAGAATAGCCATGAATACTCGTAGTTTGCTTTAGGCGTGCTTATAATTAAATCATCACGGCTATGGGTACGGTTTCCGTGGTATGGTCGTGATACGTAATTCCCAAATCCAGGTGCACATTTCATGTGACCCAACTATAACTTTGAACCTTTAATAAAAATAAACATGTTGTAGATCGTGGGTACGGTTCCCGTGACACGATTCGCGATGTGTACAAAACAAACAAGTGTACGACAATCGTAACTTGTTCCAGAAATAATTCCATAAGTAATTAAAAGCGGTTAAAAAGCTAAAAATGCACAATAGGTATAAAATATGTTATTAATCAGAAAATCAGGCCAATTAATAATAGGTTAACGACCGTGCTAAAACCACGGAACCCGAGAATGCCTAACACCTTTTTCTGGGTTAACAGAATTCCTTACTCGGATTTCTGTGTTTCGCGGACTGTAAAACAGAGACAAACTTCCTCGATTCGGGATTTAAACCGGTGATTTGGGACACCATGAATTATCCCAAGTGACGACTCTTAATTTGAATAAATAATCTCGTTTTAATTATTGTCATTTTAATTGGAAAAACTCCCTCATACCCTTTCGGGTAGAAAAGGAAATGTGACAGCATGTATCAATTAAGTCGACAGAAGTACTTCCGCCCGACATCGAGACCAAAAAGGGGAGAAAGAAGAGTAAGCACTGGCTAAGTGTTTCACGATCTTCTTAGACTGGAAAAAAAATGTAAATATTCCATTTGCAAGAAAGTTGACAACAAGAAATGCACATGCAAAGAGTTATTATAGAATTCAGATTAATTTTTTTAAGAGAATTAGTTTGTTGTTAGTCATGTAATTTATTCATGAACTTTATTTATTTTCTATTATTGTTGCCCTTGTTTTTTTATTTAAATACGAACTTTTCATTACTTAACTAGTACTATTAGATAGATAAAGAGTCTCATTGGGCTTATTCATAGGTTCAGCCACCATATTGTCTACATTAGTAGTGCAAGTTACAAAAGGATTCCCAAGTTCCACTAACTTGGTAATTATAGTAGTAGATATTGTCCTACGTTTTGTGCATCCAATTTTATTTTCATGGATGGCTTTCAAAAGAGAGTTTGGAGGCTGTTCCATCAGATAGAGAGTGGTACTATTTGCTTGCTTGGATCATTGAGTGGCCAAAAAGTGTGCAACCTTGTTTCCTTCCCTGAAGTTACGCCGGATCGGCGGATTCTGTAATTTCTTCAGTAGTGACCTGCACTCAGTAACCAAGTTAGAGTAAATAGAACAAGTATCATTATTGAGCAAAGAAATTACATTTGTTGCATCAGTCTCAATCTCTAGATTAACAAATTTTTTGTCAAATAATGCAAGTTGAAGGTCAGCTTTGAGACCTAAGAGTTCCATGTAGGCAGGGGTGTAGGCTATGACAGAATTATGGTAACCCAAAATCCAATTCCCACGGCTATTTCTGAAGATTCCCTCTGTTATGCTTGTAATAAACTTTATCATTTTTCAAATGTAGTTGTGTTATTTATAATTATATTTTCAACCTTTGGTTTTGGTATCAACCCCCTTGTAATAAGAGGAATACTTTTCTCATTTACTACATTCGAGTCTATTGACAACAATTGGTTTAGTTCGATCAAACCGAGCAGTTGTTGACAGTTATTCTATTAATTAACATAGATTAATGTGAACATGCTTTGGAAGTTATCTAGTTAATTAAAATGCCATGAATAGGGAAATTCAAATATGCACCCAAATTTGAAAAATGCCAACAATCATGTCAATTACGAGAAGGTATGTGAAAAAGCAAATTAGGCGCCAAAATTGGTGTCACGACTCAATTCCCACCTTAGGTCGTGATGGCGCCCAACGCTTCCATTAACCATCAACTCAAACAACTTTTCATAATACTTTTAAAATCATGAATTACAATAATAAAGCGGAGTTACGTTTAGAAACCATGGCAAAATACTTTCATTCTTGCCAAGTCACGAAGTATGAACAAAACATAAAACGAAATGATATAAATATTAAGTACAATCACGAACATCTACTAAAAATCTCCAAATCCCGATATCACCAGTGCATAGGTATCTAGTAGAATATACAAAATCACTATAACTACTATCAGGAATAAAAAATAGACGAAATAATATAAACATAGGGGAAGGAGACTTTGCGTGCTGCAGGTCGAAGTATGAAAAACAGCTCACCCCTAAGTCTCTAGCTGATGCTACTATGCACTCGAGTGACCACCTAATGTACATGTCTTAGTACCTGCACAGCTAGTGCAGAAGCATAGTATAAGTACGTAAATCAATTCATACCCAGTAGTATCTAGTCTAGTCTCGAAGAATTAGTAATGAGGGGTCGACACCGACACTTACTAGTAGTCCAATAATAATGTACATAAAAGTAGACATGTATAAAATACAACAAGTAGCAACGAAACAAATAAATATAAATAACATGATTCTCAACATAAGAATAATTACGAAATCAACAAATATCATAAACTGCCTCGAAGGAGACAAGGATAACCGATATCAAATAAAATGTCAAATCTCAAGTTAGGAAATCTCATATGTGCTCTGACTCCCTATCATATATTACGCATGAATTCTACTGAGGTCGTACGGCTCGATCCACAAGAATAGTGTTATATAACACTGTCGAGGTAGTACGTCCCTATCCATAGATACATATCATAATACTACTGAGGTCGTACGACTCGATCCATAATAATATTTCATAGTACTGCCGAGGCGTATGACCCAATCCTATAGAAATAAAGAAACTTTCATCGGGCTATTAGCCCACTCGCAAAGGTATGTGCGAGTCGAGAAGTCCCGGAACTACCGAGATCTGTATTTGGACTGCACCTTTGGAGCTCGTCACTGCTTTCAGCCCAAGGTTAGTCTTGTTACTTATTGAGTACATTGGGTCAGTTGTACTCATACTATGCTCTACACTTTGTGTGCAGATCCAGATACTTTCGGGTACGACGGCTGTTAGCTTTTGGAGCTTTATCTGCCGGAGACTATCGAGGTAGCTGCATTGGTGTCCACAGACCTTGACTCTCCTTCTTTTCATTTACTTTTACTGTTCTATCTTCCTAGACAAAGTATTTAGCAGCCAGACTTTGTTGTTATTTAGATGCTCATGTACTCAGTGACACTCGAATTTTGGAGAATATTATAATGAGTCACGGTATTTTTGTATCAGTATTTATGAGATTTTACTCTTAAGCTTATTTTATTATGTTTTCAAACTTAAAGATGTGTGGTTTATTGTGATTGTCGGCTTGCCTAGTTTTGCGATATGCGCCATCACGACATGTGAGATTTGGGTCATGACAAGTTGGTATCAGAGCCTAGATTACATAGGTCTCACGAGTCATGAGTAGGTTTAATAAAGTCTTGCGGATTTGTACGGAGACGTCTGTACTTATCTTCGAGGGGCTACCGAACTATTAAAAAACTTCGCTTTCTTGTAATCTTATCGTGCGAATTTGTTGATTCCGGAGACTAAACATCTGTTATTCTATTCATTCACAGATGGTGAGGACACGTGCTATCGGATCGACGGACGGCCACCAGTACCACCAACTAGGGCCACAAGAGGTCGGGGCTGTGGTAGAGGCTAAGGTGCATCTCGTACAGCAGCTAGAGCAACACCTGTAAACCCACCATTTGCTCTAGCTCAGGAGCAGATTCCATATGTGGTTGAGCCGGTGGGACCAACTCAGGCACCAGCTGTTCCCATGGTGGTTCCAAGCCTTCAGGAGGCTTTGGCCCGGATATTGACTGTTTGCACTAGCCTTGCTCAGGCGGTTTCAGTTTTGGCCGTACCAGCCACTTCTCAGGCAAGTGGAGGTGCTCAGACTCCCGCCGCTCGTACTCCAGAGAAGGTGATGCAGGGACTTCAAACATCGCGGGCACTACCAGCCCAACCGATTGCAGTTGCTCAGGCCCAAGTGGGTCCCATTATGAGTAATAAGGAGCAGAAAAGACTGAGTTAGAGGATGCTCAGGACCTTTTGGATAGGTGCCAGCGAATTCTTCGCATGGCGGGTATTCTGGAGACTAGTGGGGTCTCATTTACTACTTTTCAGTTGACGGCGGCATCCTTTAGATGGTGGGAGGCCTATGAGCAGAGCGGGCCAGCCAATGTTGCACCACTTTCATGGAACGAGTTCTCTGTCCTCTTCTTGGAGAAGTTTGTGCCACCGACCCGCAGGGAGGAGTTGCGTAGGTGCTTTGGGCAG